GAAAGAGTTCTCCCGAGTTCTCTTTGTGACAGTCCGTCCCTGATTTTAAAATTTTTTAAAGTTTTAATAAAGGATTTTACAAAAATGCCCCTTGAGGCACGCGCATTATTCGAGGTTAATCATTATGTCGTGCCATCTAAGATTTGTTTTCTTGACATATCCTCGTAATACTTGTCGCTACGGACGCGTGGATGCAGACGGTTCGTTATTTGGAGTATAACGAAAAAGATTTTAAAGTTTGAAGTTTGGGCATTTTATAAATTTTATTATTAAAATTTGGATGGCCCAGATTTAATGAAGAATTAAATGGATGTCTTGGATGTAAGGAAAACAAAAATAAATAAATATAAGTGAAAGAAGGTTTTTGTGTGTGTGTGTGCGTGAGAGGAAGAAACAGAGGAAGGAGATTGGGCATAAATGCCCAATCGGGACAAGAAAGAAGAAGACATCAAGAGGGATTGAGAGAGGGAGAAGCCGACCAATCGGAACAGAGGAAAGGAGGAAAGGAGAGAGGGCGAGAAGCGGAGGAGAGAAGATCAGAAAACGGGTTTTCCCCCAACCCGTTTACCCGCGACACCCACACCCAAATTCCGGCAATTTTCACCGGATTTCTCACAAATTGGATCAAGGTACCACTTCCAATCAACACCTAGGCCTTCCCTCTTCATGTTTCACCCCAAAAATCATGAACTTTCGTGGTGATTTCACGAAGAACACCCACACGGGTGCCGCGACCTTCTTGTCCAGATTCTTCAAATCTTGAAATCTTTTCTTTCAATTACTAACACCATTAGTATTCCATTAGGACCTGGAACAAAGCCCAAGCTTTGATTTGGACGGTGGAGTTGATTTGAAGGTCGAATTGGAACTCACCCAATTCTAGGGTCCGCACGGAATTTGATGAATTTGAAGTGTTTCCAGGCCAAATTGGCCTTGGCCACAGGTATGAAAGTTTCTCTACTCATTGAGATCTTCGATTCTGTATTTTTTGAGAATTTTTGGAAATAGTTGAATTTTCCGGCGAGCCGGGGCGGCCCGTGGCCAATGGGCCGCCAATGTCATTCTTAGCATTTTTTTAAGGTTCTAGGTTCAGTTTTGATAATTGATGGACGTAAATTGAGTAATTGAACCTAAGTTCGTTTCGATTCGTGGTTAGGTGAAAATGTGAATTTACGATCCAACCGTCGGATCGTCGCCAAACTTTGATACGTTGTAATACGTAATATTTGAGGATTATAGGAACTTACGGATCAGGAATCCGATTTACGGATCCTTCGGAATTAGAGTTGTAAGTTCATAAAATAGAATGTTAACCGTCACTTGGTTTTGACAATTGACGGAGATCCGACCGTTGGATGGTAATGAAATTTTAGGATGATGTCCTAGAGGTATATTGTGGACCTCTAGAAGTTATGGATTTGAAATCTGAGTTGCAGATCTTCCGGATCGAACTACGTAGTGACGTGTCTTATATAAGTTATATATTCTATCGATATGAATTCTGAGGTTGGATTTGATTATCGTTCTAGGCGCTGATCATCATGACGCCTTGATGTGTGGTGCTAGGGAGTTGTTGGGCGAACTTCAGGTGAGTGGGCAATTTTTGTTTTTTGTATTACCTATATACTATTAATTGTCCCAGAAATTGAATTTATATGAAAGTATGTTTTCAATTGCCATGATGCATATTATAAATTATATGAATTGATATTGATGCATATATATATGTGAATTGGTGCTGTGGACGCACATGTGAGTATCAGGTGAGTTTATATGGTTTATATGAATGAATGATGATGTGAATTATGTTGAGAGCTCGTAACCTGCACCCCTGGTGTTAGTGCTTATGTTATTCACCCTGCATCACACGCTCACCTTGGATCCAAGTAGATGCTAGTCGTACAGACCACTAGAGGTGGTTCCGACATGCCAGTCGTACAGACCATTAGAGGGGTTCCGACTGGTAGGTGACCTTAGATTATGTGCACAGATGATTACTGAGAGAAGCACTAGAGCGTATTATTTCACCATCTTAGTCGTACAGACTACTATAGGTAGTTCCAACTTATGTGCAATGTAGTGCCGTACAGGTCACAGTTGGTGACTCCGGCAGGGCCGTACAGGTCACAGTTGGTGACTCTGGCTGGATGGGATATTGAGCTATAGAATCAGCCGTACAGGACCACTGTACGGTCTCCGGTTGATTTATTATTTCACCTGAATTATATTGATGCATTCACATTATATTTTGGCATATGGCTTGGCATGGCATATTCTTTCTGAAAAGCGTTGAAGGATTATAATTTGAGCTTTTGATGATATATATATATATATATATATATATATATATATGTTTATATATTATTATGTTATTTTCTGGGAAAGTATACGGGTTTTACAGCGAGGGGCTAGAAATGTTTTCGAAAAACTTTGTTGTACTGACCCACTCAATTTTGTTTTGCACCCCTCCAGGTTCTAGTTAGCAAAGCTTTGGTGGCTATGAGGAATCCAGTGGTGTTCTGACAAAAGTCACAAAAGTAGGACCCCCCCTCGGGTGTTTCATCATAGTAATTGTATTTTTTAAGCTTCCAAACTGTGTAAATGGTTACGTCACACTCACGTGACGGCCAGCACGCCCTCTTTCGGGACGGGGTGTGTCACTCTCCCCTTCCTCAGAGAGAAACGTAGGAAAAAGAAAAGGCGTGGGTCCCTGGGCGTGGCCAAACATCCAAAATATCTTGGGCTAAACTAAATTTACAAAAGTACTCGTAAACTTGTTTATAAATTTCTCCTTCGTTAAAATCTCGTTTCACGGGCGGTTTTCACCCCACTTGCTCGTGAGATCGGACTTATCTAAAAATATTTAGTGTCGCCCTGTCTATGGATTTTAAATAACCAATTTCCAAACTTAACTCTTCGTAACTAGTTTAATTAAAATCTAAATTCAAATAAATTGCTATAAATTCCCCAAAAATAATATAAAATCTCAATAATATCAATATGTATTTTATAACAGTGAAATCCAGGAACGGGATTTCACATTGACAATTGAGTAATAATCCAGTCATCAACTTTCATGTTATTTAGCTTCCAAGATTTTGACTACCAATTTAGTTTCCCTAATATTACCCTTTAGAGCAGTTCATGCGTTGATAGCCTTCTCTGGGCTATAGGCAACCCAATCCCCTTAGTGAACAGTAACTGCCCAGGTGCATATCCACCTCTAGCCTAGGCAATTCGTATTAAAATATTAGTATTTTTTATTTTATAAAATAATAAAAAATAATTTTATTTTAATTTGGGATAATAATAAAAAGATTGGTTAAAAGTATTTGAAAATATTGAAATATGGTGTAAGGTTTATTTTTATTTTTAAATTAAGTTTTTATAATTTTTTGTATTTTTAATTAGTTTTTTTAATAGAGCTGATGTCACAATGACTTTAGCCTTGCGCCATTGCCCCTAGAGGATGGGCCTATCAATTTTTGCTTGGGTGACCAACTAGGCTCCCCTAGAGCCCAATGGATTGAATTGAGTTGGGAGTTTTTTTTTTTTTTTTTTTTTTGGGAGGGGATTTCACAGCCTATCTCCTAGGGGATTATTTTTTATTTTTTGTTAAATGATAAATTTGTTATATTAGATGTTAGATTAAGGAGTTTTTTTTTTTGTCAAATGATAAATTTGTTAAATTAGATGTTAGATTAAGGAAATAGGGGAGCCGATGTTTGAACTCACGCCATGGTACAAGAGCAACACTCCTCTACATCACTATGATAGAGGGCCACTTGCTATCCCCGAAGGAATTTGAACACATTGGAAGTCCTCTTAGTAGGTCAAAAGGTCAAAATCATGTCTATTTAGACTTCATCAAAAGATGGAGAGACGTGAACTGCTTAGGAAATGATTGACTTGAAAGGAGAGGAGGTCAACAAAAATTGATTGTCTTTGACATTTATAGTTGTTCTAACAATTGCATCCTACAATTTTTTTTTTTGTCACACGATAGATTTTGTTAGATTAGCCATCAACGGGATTCGAACTTACGCTGTCATGCAATGGCTCAACTCTTTTCCACCACTGTAATAAAGGGCAACTTGCACATCCTACAAATATTTAAGTATATAAAATAATGCTACAAAAATCTACAACTAACAGTTTATACTTTGTAATAATAACGTTGAGTTTTAGAAAAACAAAATTAACTCATCTTGGTGATGTGTCTCTAGATGCACTACAATGTAGGTGTCTATCTATCTACAACATTGCCCTAAACCAAAGAAAGAAATGAAAAGGAGCATCAATCCACCAGAAACAATTGCGTTGCCAAACTAAATCGTTTCTAATATATTTACAGCATACGCATCTCCGAAGCTCAATTCGTTGGTAGAAGCATTGAAATATATTTACAGACCCATTAAATCTATAGATAGTGCACAAGATTACAAAAACAAAATCATTGAGAATTCTTGTAAACGTAAGAAATCGGTCAAGCGTACCTAGGCATGACACTCAGATTCTCAATATTCCCCAACCCCCTCCCATTATGTCATAGCAGCTGCTATTCCTAAAGCAGAACTGCATGTGCTTAACCTAATTGCAAAAACAAAATGATAGATTCAGTAGACGTTAATGTGATGACCCGTCCCTAATTTTCCATGTAATTTTCTCCCTGAGTGTGTAAAATGACGTTTATGCCCTTGTTGGCAAAGTGACGTGGACATAGTTATTCGGTTTTAAATTATTTTTCTAGTTATCGTAATTAAATAGTACTCATTGTTACGAGTGCGTGAGCACCAGTTAGACACGAATCAGACTTGTAATGAAAAAGTTACATTTAGTTAAAGTGCATTAACAATGGGTAGATTTGTTCACGTGCATGTTAATTATTCAGTGTTGGAAACTACTATTTTTGATAAGTCATGTTAGATTACGTGGGATTTCAAATTGTACAAAATCTTATCCCTTTCTTTCTTTAAATCTGTCCCGTGCCCTACTCTACCTCACCACCAATCATTTCATTTCCCATATTTTCTTCCCTAATCAGACCACTCTCCTCTTTTTGACCAATCAGAAGACTCTCTCTCTCTCTCTCTCTCTCCTCTCTGCAACAACCAAGACTCATCATCAAACTTCACAGATCGAACCTAAAATCACCACCTTCATGTTCCTCTTATCCTCACGAGTCTATCCGTACAAAGCAATCTTAAAGTAATCAAGTTTTGAGTGTCCAACTCAGAGCAACTCAGAGCTCTAACTCAAGTGTACATTCCTCCATGCCTTTTCTGTTCGAGTTGCACGGTTTTGGAAGGTTTGGAGACATCTAGGTAACTCCCCGTGGCCACTAGCCTAGGTTTGAAGTGGAGCCAACGTGAGAACACATGAGTTTGAGACAACAAAAATAGGGCCAAGAGTTTCAAGGCTTTTTCAGTCTATTTTTGTCCGCTTTTTGGACTTTTGAGAGGTACAAACTTGTTCTCCTCTTCATGAGCTTCATTTCCATATAAAGTACGTCAAAAATGGTTGAGAAATGAAGAAGTTATGAAGTTTTAATTTTTTTTCCAGAAACTGGCGAACCAGATGATTGCGGCGAACAGTGGAGGACAACTGGAGAAGAAGGAGAATATTTCGTTAAAGTTAACGGAATATTCCGTCAAATCTGACGGAATATTCACTAGGGTTTCTGTCAATTTGTTAGGTGTTTGGCTTGCACATAGGCGCACGTGTGGCCGTGACCTAGCAGCTCGTGAGGGCGCGTTCGGCCTCCGGGCGGCGCATGCTTGACGTGTATGGGTCCGTGACATCAAGTTGAATGCTTTCGTATACTTAAACCCTCCATTTAAGCAAACTATAGGGAATTTTCCTAACCTTTTAGTGTATGTCCTAATTAATTAATTAGTAAAGTTATTTCACATATAGGTGAGACTTACCCCGAGAAGGTATGTGGACAAACAAGGCTAGGAGGCTACGATCCATCGACGTATCAGTGAGTGGGCATTTGTTTTTATATATTATATATAAAGTTTTATAGTTTCCACATGTGCTTTTGGATTGATTTCACGCCTATCATGCCATGCTTTATTTAATTTTAAAAATGCCATATGATTGTTGAGATTTTTATATATGATCATGGCATGTTCTTATACATATTACTTACTCATCATGCATGCTTGTACCGGTGTAGTACTCGCCCCGATCAGGGCTAGGCTTCACGTGTATGTTCATATCGCATCGCACGCTCACCTTGAATCCATTGTAGGTGCCAATCCTATCATACAAATTGCAATAGGCAACTCTGACTCATATATTATGATTACACCTGGTCTTGTTCATGTCAAATTCCCCCTGCATGAACTCGTGTGTTAGCATAGATTATTGAGCACCTGATTTTACTTATGCTACTGTTGAGATATTATGATTGGCGTACGTATTTATGGATTTATTGTTGATTTACAATTGATTTCATATTTATATGTAGTATGATTTTCTGGAAACTATACATGTTTTACGACGAGGGGTTAGTATGTTCAGAAATAAATGTGTTTTATAAACCTTTGTTTTTGCCCACTCACCCTTCTATTTTTCGCCCCTCCAAGACTTAGATAGTTGAATTCTCTGTGGTAGACGAGGAATCTCCGGCGGTTCTGACTTATCCCTAAATAAATGAAGGAACTTTTTCTAGGTTGAGTAATAAGTACTTAAACTAGTTTCGACTGCACTACTTATGCTATACTGTCATCTATGCTTTGAACAGTTGTATTTTTATGGGTTCTTCGCACTACTACGCACTCTCTACTTTAGTTTAAATTAAATAAATGTTAATTTTGGTTTAAATTTATGCATATTTTTATGCTTCCCTTTTCCTTTTTGGTTACGTCACCGTCGGATGTCGGCCAACATGCCTCGACTTCGGTTGGGGTGTGTCATTAATCTATTTACTTAACAAGTCAATCGAAATGCAAATTAGATTTAAATACCGAAAAAAATTCTTTGAATGTAAAATTCTACATTTATCTTTTGGTTATTCACTTATTGCTGTAAGTCTTCAAGTAAATAAATATCAAACTGTACTTCAATTGAATAGGTACAATTCTACAGTAGCCAAACGCTGCATAACCTCATAAGCAAGATAAAAAATACTAACCCCATGAATTAGTGAGCTTAATGACAAGATTAAAAAAATACTAAACGGAATCTTACCATCCACATTTTAATTCGATCACGACATAAAATGTATGCTGATGTGAAATAATCCAACACTCAAATTAAACTCTCTTGTTGTCAAATTGTAGTAAAGATGCAAGTAGGGATCGTTCTGGACCGGGGATTAGGAGGGCTTGCTAATAACCTCTAAACTGACTCAAAAACATAAAATAAAAAAAAAAGAAAAGATTTTAAACATTTGAAACAAGAAAGTAAACCGGGGGGGGGGGGAGTTTTGGTTTTGAAGAATTTGAAACAAACAAATTGTAAAACTAAACAGATTGTAAAACGAATTTTGGGAAATAAGACGGTTGATGGATTAGCTAGAGGTCCATTCTTCACACATGACACACTTGTACATGAATCGATTTCCAATTGCTTTTCAATAAATTATGATGCTCAACACCCCAGATTAACCGTGATGTACTAATTAACCCTCAGATTTTCCTTTATTCATTGAATTGGATGAATGCATGCGACAACCCAAATCATTTTCCAAAGGTCACCTACATGAATGCATAATAGAGATACAATCAGAGATCATTACGTTCCATGAAAATCATAAGTGTTAACGAGACATTTGTAACCATGAATGCATGATACGTTTGCCAAGAATTCAATTAACGCGACTGTGACTAGCAACCTTCACTACTCATGAATATAAATTTGTAACAATTAGGTGAAACTCATTTATATTCTAGCATCAAATTCATGCATGAAAACTAAGTATGCATCCTTAATCAACATACAAGAATTAGTTTTGAAGAAAACAGCTAATTGAATTGCATTCACAACTTATCAAATCACAATTGGAAGAAATCAATTCATATCTCAAGGATGTTCATGGCTTCGAACTTCCCTCTAGCTAAGTAGGGGTTTAGCCGCTCATAGTTACAGCAAAATCAGAGAATAATAAAGTAGACATTGAAAACAAGAACAAAGTACACCTAAAACGCTCTAATCTTCAAGCTTGAAACGTCAAAAGTCCTTCTTCTTCCCCACCTTGCTGCGGCACAAGTGACTATGGATGTTTATGGCTAAATGAAGGGGTTAGAGATGTGTTAAGGTTGAATGGGGCTGCGGCAAGGAAATGAGAATGGCTGGAATTGTGAATGGGAGTGAATGGATATGTAGAATGGTGAATGAATGGTCTAAGGGTCGCGACAGGTTATGTAGAGAGGGTTTGGGGTGTGTAGAGAATCTGTGGTGATGGGTGATAGAGGATGGATAGGTAGATAGATGGATGGAATGGCTGAGGAGAAGAGAAGAGAGCCCTAAAGAGTGTGACAATATGTTATTTATATAGCAAAGTAAGTCAAAGCCGTAAGGAATTAAAGCTAGGGTGCAACAGACAATAAAGGAAAAAGGAAATAAAGTTTTCATTATTTTAGAGGGATTTTAACTCTAAATCCACAAGGAAAAGGCTAAGTAAAATCAGAAATCAAGAGAGAAAGGGAAACGAAAGTTGTGGCAAGGACAAAGGGAAAGTGAAAAGGGAAAAAGGGAAAGAGGAAAGGGGAAGTTGCGGCAAGGGTTGAAAAGGAAAAGGAAAGATGTAATTAAGTGTCTTAACATATATAGGACACTCCTTTGCAGCTGGAACCTTGATAAATTAGGATTAGGAAATGTCAAAACCAAAGTAGGAAATCTTGGCTAACATTCCTTCTTTGAGTAGGAATCCTTATTCTTCTAGGAATCCTCATTCTTCTAGGAATCCTTCTTCAATTAGGAATCCTAGCATCTTTACATCTTCAATTTCATCCATACCCTTTGCTCCAAGCCTATGCTATCCATTCCATGCCCAAAACTGCTCCAAAAGGCTCCAAAATGCACTTCTTTGCCACATTAACCCTTTGGACCTACAAACACACGAAAACTTAAAATACTAAAATAACTAAGAACTAACAACATAAATGCAAGAAAACAAGCTAACTAGGTCACATAAATATGCTCCTATCACATGCCTGGCTAGCTTTGCTTAAGACAAAATCACGTCAAATGAGGTTTCTCTATCGATACTATTCATCTCATGAGATAATTATTAATTAAAAAAATATATTAACTAATTTGTCGCCGAATTTTGTAGCATGATCTTATAACTAAACATGTCATTAAAATGATTGGTTGTATGAAGAACTAAGTCAAGTGGGTGAGAAATTCATTATCATCTCATGTCGAGGTTGTGGAGCCTAAAATAATCCCAAATATTCTAGAGGCTACACGTGGACTTTTATTCAAGAAAGACAAGATTGCCCCCAATAAATGGGTAGGCTTCTCAGATGTTCCCACGCACAGCTCACACCCCTGGAGGTCTCAACAGCTGAATACTACCCACAGCTCACCTGCCCTTGGCAATGAATTAAAGATAAGGATTAATTACCCAAATCCTATCTTTAATACATTCTAATTTAAATCAATTAGGGATAATTACACCATCATCTCAAGATATTATTTCCTTTGTAATATCTTGGAAATATTTAGAGAATATCTCTCCAATAAAGACTATATGGCTGGCCCTAGCCCTATAAATACCCCATATTCTACCAATTTTGGAGGGCTTTTGCAACCCTAAAAAAGCCCTAAACACTTTACTCTCTCAAAGAAACTAACTTAGGCATCGGAGATCCGTTGACCTACCCTTCCCACCTCGTGGGCGTTTGAGGCTTAGGTCTTTGATCAAAGGTGTTGATTGTTTACAGGTGCATTTTCATCAAGACTGAAGACGACAGAAATTTGCATCGACAAATTGGTGCTTTCATTGAGAGAGCTAATTCAAAACACTCGAAGAAGGCTCTCGCATTTGTTTCTTGAATTTTCTATTATGTTGAATTTCTCACACGTCGTATTAATTAATTTTTCCTAGAAAAGTTTCTTGATCAATCCCTCGAGAAAGGATACAATGGTAGGAAATTCAGAAACTATGACGAACGGAACCCCGTACGTGCAAGGATTTGGACCGGAGAGTGGAGACGAGGACATAGCCCTACGACGGAGTTCCTCAAGGCTCAACACGGCGGCAGGAGGAGCCCTACCGTCATAGAGCCATGCCACCACTATCACCACCGTGACCCAACAGCCATGACAAGGCCATTAGGCCACGACGTCACTCCCACCACCGTTGCCCCTGTAGCACCTCACCCTACCAAACCCTAGGCAGGAGCCCCAGGTCTATTTCCAAGCCCACGGGCAAGAGGCCCAGCCCAATGCAGCAGTAGGCCTTGTTGCACAGTAGGCCCAGACCCAAGCCTATAATGCGACAACTACTGCAAGGCAGCTCAACATGCCCAAGCCCAAGCCACTTAGCCAGCAGGCCATGATGTGGTAGCCCAATAGCCAAGAGGGCATACGACCATATAGGCCAAAGACGAGCAGACGCCAAGCCAACGCGCCCCACAACCGTCTCCGACGATTCGGCTTGCGGCCCAATCCATTCCAAGGCTACCTCCATCGATCCAGATTCTGACCACAGGTCCCGCGATTGATTCAGGGTTACCTACACCCCACTTTTTTGCAGGAATGCTCATTTTGGGCTCAAACTTTGTACCTGCAGTCCACTATACTTCCACCATACATGGAGATGCCTATTATCCAGACTCTTCCAATCCAAATGGCGAGCACCACCTGTCCCAGCAGGTCACTAATTTGACGAACGCCCTTGCGCAACAAACCACCTTGGTGAAACAACTTTTCGAGTGCATCGAGATG